AAAAAAAAAAAAAAAAAGAAAAGAAAAAAGACAATGAATTAGACTGCTGTATCCAATTTTTCAATTTGAAAAGTCGCGCAAAAATTCGCGTGTTCTGAGAACTATTCCGAAGTGACATAAAAAAAATATAGATTGAAAACTTTTAAAACTTTAATAAGATTGTTATAGTGCGGATCGAAGCGTTGAATTAGATTTATGCACAACTTGTGCCATCAACCGGAGTTGAATGGATACCAATTGTTTATTCGATATATTTTGGTTAAAACAATAAATGTTTATTTTTCTTTTAAGCATTGTTAGAATACGAATTATCACACATAAACCTAAAATTAGAGATTCCAAGTCTCGCGATTTTTTGGTTTAAATTAATTATCCTACTTTTTTGTTTAATTAATTATCCCACTTGCTGCGAGTATAACCGAATATACAAATATTTTTGAATGTTTATATATATTTTTCCATATATTTCTATTTGCTTTCACGATTCCCGCTATACGCAAAGCTATAGAATGCACGCAATAATCAGATTAACCGAAGCTGATGCGAACAAAAAGCGGAACGGACTGGCGATATCAAAGAATAAAAATTTCTATTTAAATATTGCTACGCGCACGTTACTTTGCTTTCTAACTTTCCGCCATTCTCTTGTAGTTTACATCCGAAGACGAATTTTTGAACGATTCGTCTGTAAACTGCACTTTATTGTTTAAAAAAATTGATGATGTAGAAGAATCGCCGTTTTAATTTGAAACATTCTCACAGAAAGGAAAATATTTTATTAATAAATTTTATATATATATATATATATATTCGTATCATTGAGTTGGCAAAAAATTTGATTCGCGCATATATGAAGAGAAACTTATGAATATTTTACACCACGTCGCGCAATCACGAATAAAATGTTCGACGATGAAAACGATCGAGTACGGAAGTCACGCGAGATCGTAACCGGTACTCGAGCGAAAGCTCGAATATTCTATTATTTTCGATTTGTGCCCGATGCAAACAACGTCGAGGGATGCGATAATTATCAGAGCATTTCCAAACATCATTGCTAACCAACCGCTTTCGCTCGCGCCGCTCATGTTCTCTTTCTCTCTCTCTCTCTCTCTTTATTTTTCTCTCTCTCTCTCTCTTTCTCTATTTTTCCCTTTCTCTTTTACCAAACATTATGCATGCCGTTTAATGAAATTGATGCAATTGTCCGATGCATTTAATCCTGCCAATTTACATTGCGTCCTAATATCATGCGCGAGCATTCCACTAATGGAGTCACTAATGAGAAACAAAACCATTCTTTTCGCTCGTTATTGTTTTCGATAGATTAGACAACCGTCGGCAGAAAATTGCTATCGATCATAGTGCGCGAGGAAATTTGCACCGCGTTTATTTTATTTCTTTTATACTCGATGATCGTCTGATTTTCTTTCTATCGTAGTGAAAATTACGTTGATATAAAATATCTGGTTGGGAATATCTCGGAGAAGTAAGTGATTTCACATATCACATAGTAATTCGATTTAAGAAATCAAATCTTCGAAAGATCAGCTAAATTCTAATTTATAAGAATGATTGTTTTAACAATTTAATAATTGTTTTATTTTTTTCTTTCTTATTCCGTCGTCGAATTTTAATTTCGAATATCTCGATAAACTACCGAGGCTAAAGATATTAAATTTCTAGAATCCTTTTTCAAAACGTTAGCTTCGTTTAGAGAAATAAATCCAAAGTTATCTTTAACAGCTGATCTCTCGGAAGCGTCGTCTCAGTGACGAAGCTCATCGGTGCACAATCTCCAAAATGATGTTAAGACGCGCTTTTCGCAAACGCGCTGCACGCGGTTGATTTCACCGCAGTGCGGATGTGGCTTCGAAACCGATGTGAATACCGAACAGGGATTAGAGCATCGCGTTTAACCGTACGGGCCGGCGGCGCGGCGTACCGAGACGATTAACGATTTTATGGAAACTCGTCTAATGGGATTATCGGATTACTTCCGTGTCGGTACGAGTACTCCGCGAGCGCACTATATTACTCCTCGCACTATTCTGTGGATTACGTTCTCATTCTTGAGATCGCTGCTGGCGCCAAACTGTTATTCTTTGAGATTTCGGATGCGAGATTTCTCGGCAATCGAGTCACGGTGAAATTGGCCTCGTGACAAGCGAACAATTTGAATATCAATTCTGTCCTTTACTAAATGAATTTGTTATTTTGACAACAGCATGAATTACAAAATAGAAAATTTAATTTAATTAAGGGAAAGCGTGCTATTTCTGAAGTATATAAATAATTTAATAGAATATTTAGATAATAATGTTCAATAATGTCAAGTTTTCTATCACCATTTCATTACAGGTTTGATTTATAAATTCCATTAACCATCCGTATTTCTAAAGATTCTAGATTGATGCTTCCGCAATAATTAATTTAATTTTGAATAAATGGAATATGAAGGTGATTAGACGGAAATTATTAATTCATAATTTAATTGCAAAATGATGTGAAGTGTGATTTTGTATTTCTATCGGTTTTCCTATCTCTCTTTTGACACATCAGAATACTTTTAATGCTCTAATTATAGCGCAATCAAATATTGCATATTTTATTAATATTACCTTATTTTTTTTCCATCGTGAAACATATCAAGGATAAATATACACGAGGCAGATATTGTTTATTCTGTTATTAAATTTTATTCGCACGCATATATACTTTTTTGAATAATGATATCATTATTATTATTATCGCTCTTATTATCGTTTCTCAATTCAAAGATGGAACACCAAGATGAAACGAGGCCGCGTTTCCGCTTTTCCCGAAAAAAAGGATGAAAATAACGGATGCGCTCACGGGCTCGCGATTTATATCGTCATAAATATATTTACGGTTATAACTCGAACTCTCTTCGATATCGTACGACGCTTTATTTCATAGCTTCCGGAAATAGATCCGTCGACTTCCCGCGTCTCTAGAGGATCGATACTCCGATAAAATCCCGCCTGTCCGTTCACGGCCGCTCGAAAACAATCCGCGATTATTTCCCTTCGCGAAATACTGTCCGCGTAGTCTCTTCTCGAATCAAACGCGCATCCGGTATACGAAAAGACGGGAAGATTATCAGTGATATCCGGCCCACGCGGCGAGGACTCGCGCCTCGCATCATCGTTATCAGAAACGATTCACGATCAGCGTCACCATAAGAGCAAATTTATATATTAATTTAGATTTTAATATATTAAATTTATATATTAATCGAAAACAAATCGAGCTTTACAGTTTCACTTATAAAAGCATCGAAATTCAAATTATTCTTTTAAGAACTTGAGAATATATGTATATGTTATATTTTCATATAATTTTCTTCCAACATTAAGATTAATTTCCTCAAATTTCTACAAACTTCAATTAAATTGCTTGCAGACAGTCTCTGAATTATATCTTTTTATTTCAAAGTTAAGATCTTTAAAGATACAAAAAATTAAACACGACATTAATATATCGATTCATATCAGTCACAATAAATATCTCATTGAAATCAATAAATATATATCTGTCTCTCTCTCAGTGAAATATGAAACGTAATTATTAAACATATAAAAAATATGTTGCAAAGGGTAGAAAATTGTATTTTAAGTAATATTTCTTTGCTCGATTATCGTTCTTGTTAAAGCAGCCAAAAATGATTAACTACAGACTCTGAAAGATCCTCATGCGACCCTGATGTGCCGACTTTGTCCAGATAGAAACACACGCACACGCGTGTCATTTACGGTTTGAAAACCGTCGTCATCCGGAGATTAGAGTGCCTCCGGTGCCATATGGGGAAACGACGAAACTTCCCTCAATCTGTAGGAGGTAACGACTCCCGCGTGTGCGCATGAGAGTCGCGATGCGTCTCGATTACGGGAGAGAGTACAAGGGGAAGAAAAGAAAAATGCGAGTCGCTGATAGCCTACGTTTTTCACAACCCAAATGCCGGAAAGTTCTTGAGCGTCATTGTGCCGCAGATTCAACTCTCCGCAACGACAAGCGACGCGAGCGAGCTTCTTCTAATTTCCAGCTGGATTTTGATCCTTGCATTTGCCGCGTGCCACACACTTAAAATACTTTCTTTATTAACTTATTCCGATCATATACGGATAATTGATGAACTTATAATATATATTGCAAAAAGAGTTCATCCGATTTTATTACAATATATATAAAAGTATAACGCAACAGATTATTTTCGA